TTTTTTTTTTTTTTTTTTGCCGCCGCCGCCGTGCTCTTTCTGCAGTTTTCTCCCTCGGCTGTCGGCTGTTGCAACGTGTTTTGTTTGTGGTTCTCTATGATCGTAATTGTAATGCTGTCATCTGTCGCCACTTTTTTTGCCGTCCTCCAATTTGTCCGTCTGCAACCTTGGTGTCCCCGGTCCGCTGCAGCAGAACGCGACCTCTTTTCGAAACCTTCGTACAAGCGGTCATTCCGCTCCCAACCTCATCAGCACCAGCACCAGCAGGGTTCGATATCTTTGAAGAGCCTTCTCGACCTAGAGCTGGTGTGGAATCGTCAGCGGGGGCGGAAGGGGTCTCTGCGGTTGGGAGAGGTGATCGAGGCCATTGCGGGCATCGATTCACAGGTACTTTGGTATGTCGTAACGTAACCTTTGAATGCTAGTACGGTGCTTTGATTTCACCTGCAGAATGTGTTGTGTTTGAGGAGTGGCTTCGAAAATGATACTATGAAGTGCTTTGATTTCACGAGCACTTTGCTGTGTTTGAGGTGTGGCGTGGAGGAAGAGTACGGTGCTTCATTCCACAGGTACGTTACTTTGTTGTGTCATGAAGTGACTTTTGAGTACTAGTACGGTGCTCTGAAATCACAGGGGACGTGTTTCTGACCACTCCGCGCGTCGATGGAACAAATTTTGCCGACCCCAGAATCAGTGTGGTTCAGAAGATATTATCTTGTGCTTGGCAGGATAAATGTTTCGGAGCAGAAGGCCAGACTTACGGTTGGGTTGCATGCACATGAGGCACCAAAAAACGAGACACGATGTGAAGTACTGCATAGAGCAAGAGCAAGAGCAATGGCAAGGGCAAGGTATCATACAACGGTAGTAAGATGGCGCTTGCCTGCATGTGCTGCTGAGCATTGACCGGAACCAACGGTGTGCACATGCGAAATAATCCCAGCAGCAGCAGCAGCAACAGCAGCAGCAACAACAACACAGCTCATTGTACCATACCATGCCATGCCAGATACTTCGGCCCGTGTGCGAGGAGTTGCGGCGGCGTGCTGCATCCGTCGGAGAGTCGCGTGCAGGGGAAGGAGGGGCAGGGGAAGAAGAGGACACCTTCGTTTCGCTCCGCACAAACCGGAGGACGCTAGACCTCAAGTTTTCCACAGTCCCCATCAGGTACGGTACGGTACGGTACGGTACAAACAGCGTGCACATGACACTGCCTTCGTCGTTGCTGTTGCTGTGGCCCTCACTCTCTGTTGTTGTCGTTGTTGCTGTTGCTGTTGCTGTTGCCGCCCTTGTCCTGCCTGTTGCTCGTCGTACGGCGGGGTGGGCCATGTTTGGCATGACTGGGTACCGCTGTGCCGTAGTACCGCAGTAACGTAGTACCGTAGACTAGCCGCCCAAGGTGGGGGCTCCGTAGAGTAACTGCCAGCTGCGTCTTGTGTTACCAATTCTCAAGGGTAGCGTTTGCGACACGCGTTGGGAGATGAGAGAACGCTCTCGGCTATTCGAACCTCCAAGCGTTTCTCCGGCCACCAGAATATTACTTCAGTAGGAGATGAAGTAGAGTGTAGCTCCCTACCCCCACCCCGCCGTCGCCGCCGTTTGCTGTCGTGGTCTTCTGTTCGCTGTTGACAACTTTGTTTTTCTTCTTCTTAATATAGCACTCAAAACGAGTCCATCTCTATCCGCAGGCGACAGAGAGTGTCAAGCAGGATAAATTAACGATGCGATGAACCCCAGTTTTATTTTTTTTTGTTTGTTGGGCACAATTAGTTTACCAATTCGTGAAAAAATCGTGTTCCGACTGCTGCAGGAACCGGTTCATGCTCGCATTCAAGACCCTGGCGTGGGAGACAGCGGCTGCTGAGGCCGGCAGCACCAGAGGCAGAGGCAGCAGGCCTGTCGGGTCGAGCCATTTCTAAAGCTTGTAGATCTTACTTGACCAAAGCAAAGCAGACAAGCCACTCGCCGATGCGGCCCGCGTGTAAGGCGTGGTCGGGGGTGTGTACTCTCGTTCATAGTCAAAGTCGT